CGACAACACCGGGAAGGGTTTACCACCGGATCTGGGATTCTTTGTTCCGAAAAAAGCGTACCACGACGTTATGCAATGGCAAGGAAAGGAGATGAGGAACCTGGGTCGCTGTCTTCTGGGAGTGCTTGCCGTGACCCTGAGACAACCCGACAGTACACAAGTAGGGCCCTTCAAATGCGCCCTGGCATGCATTAGATATTTACTGGATTTCAGTTTAATGGCGCAATACCGAAGCCTTATACATGAGACTTTAGAATATATGCAAAATTATCTCACCCGGTTCTATGTGACGAAGGATGTTTTCCTCGAGTTTCAGATATCAAAACGCATACGAGTAAAAGTTCAGGAGCAATGGAGAGAACAACGCAGAGCAGCCGTAGCTCAATCACCAGCCTGCACTAAATCCAACCGGCTCCAGACGCGAGTGCAGCAACGTGAGATTGAAGACGACCAGCGTTTGGACTTGATCCATATGGAAAGTCTTTTCCATTTTATCAAGATGCATCTACTCACTCACCTTTGCAATCACGTAACCCGATTTGCCAACATTCCAATGTATTCTACCGAGTTTGGGGAGCCGGCCTATAAGGAACAGATTAAAGACGGATGGCAACGCTCGAATAAAAATGATCCTGCGCGGCAGATACTCCACAGCTATGGCTGACAACACTCGATCCGAATGCGGCTTCTGAACTTAGATTTTCTACTATGTCGCGGGGCCCACATCCCAGCTGACGTTGGTAAACTATTAGATCCGGCAAGCCCACTATCCGTACCAGAGACCCGCCGTAGGGTCCTGAGAGGACGTTGTGCTCATGGGTCTGATACTTCAGATTTTTGCAAGGTCTTGGGTATCGCGATTGAGAGCCTCTGTGGGGACTTGATTCGATATAGCTGTCAAGGTCTGCCCCTTGACTGCCACCTTCCGGAAGATCCTGTGGTACTCCGGTATCTTCCTGTCGAGCTCCTAACACAACTTGAAATTGCTGTTCTGGCGTTTCAGGAAACAGATGTTTACGACATAGACCGGGCGCCATCTACAGGAGACGAGCCATTCTGGAAACAGGGAAGCTGCAATGATTGGGTTTGGGTACAGACTGGTGGGGAGGAGGTGTATGGTGCGCTAAGAGGACGCCTGCCAGGGAAACTCCTGGCGCTCTTCAAACTCCGAGACTGCCTACAGGGTGGTAGGGTTTACTGACTCGCGTGTGTCCAACTGCTGAGCGTAGTTAACTCGGGATGCCAATCCGAGTTTCATGATCTCATCACTGTACAGCCGAAGCAGGGTGCCTGAAGATTTACCATAGTAGATATTGGCACCATTACCAGCTTGGCGCACTTGATCCAGAACGCAGAACAGCGCTGGCTTGCTAATATTCAGATCGATTTACAGACGTTTAAGGAAATATATTGAACGATTTGGCAAATCGCTCAGCCAGTATTCGATCCCAGGTGAAGCACAATGCGGTGCAGGGCCAAAACTGGTCTTCACATCCTGTTCTCATAGTATGGGCGTGGGGCTGGGACACCTAGGAATTGATGGCATTCAACATATTGGACTTAGGCGCTTACGGCAAGAGAAGGGTGAGAAGGAGGGCTATGGCGTTGATATCACATAATGGGAAGCTCTTAGAGTTGTAACCCGCTGTAGATAGCATAATGTAGATAGATTTGGAACTTATAAAATGGAAATAAACTTGATCGAGATCTGATATTTACAGTGAGAATGGAGTGGCGGCAAATGGAAGCTTACACGAGATACAGAGTCCTGACATTGGTAGGACCGAATTCTTAAACTAGAAGTGCGGCGTCAGGAGTTCCCAGTGAGGTGGAGGCTCCCTGGGTAGATGTGGACCCAGTCCAGATGCCAGAGGATGGGACGACGTGAACCAGACAGGGGGATGCCGGGTATCAAAACACGGTATAGCCGCCCTGAGATGAGCAGATACGCCAAATGTGTTACAACAGGACAGAGAAAGAAGGTGTGAATATGGGTATCCGGAATAGAATGTAATGTGGGAGGTGTGTGGGGACGGCGTCAGGACGGCCGGACGTGGGAGCCGTCGCAGATGATGGGATAAACTAGGCGTTAAAATGTAGGATGGAGCGGACGTGGCTGGCCGTTGCAATGCAAGACCAGACACACAGGACGCAGGGGACGCAGGGGAAACACACAGTGCGTCCAGACGCGGCGCCCGCGTGTCTGGCGCAGGATTTATTTTTGCTGATGTTGGTTGGAATACCTATAACGATATCGCCTTAGGGGTGTCCCGGGTTGGTTATTCCGGTGCAAGGGGTGGGCTTTTATGCCTCCCTCAATTGATTGCTTAGGGGAGACTGGCTTTTTACCGCCCCTTTGTCATGGCCCTTTTAAGGGACAGTGCTGGAATGCTTTCTTGGGTGCCGGGTGGGGTTGATACTAGTGTATTTCCTTTGTTATGAATTTTAGGAGCATAAGAGGCACGAGACCGGAGCAATGCTGCCTGTGGTAGTGATTTATTGATTGTACTGGGATTTCCGTGGCCTGGCTAGGTGTAGCAGATAGGTGCTGGACTGTTGATGAACTTGTACTTTAGCTTTGGTGTTGGTGCTCGCTCACCGGAGTGGTTAACAGTACTGGGAAGGAGGATTGGTATCCTGTATTTTGTTGCCTGATTTGTTAGAGGGGGTAGCACTGGCAGGGCCCCAGTCCCATCGCTGGATCCCGGCCGGCGTTAAGCTCCAGTCGGGGGGGTGCTCGTTGTATGCCCGATCATGGCGTGGCGAGTAAAAATAAGAACTTAGATTGAATTTGGACACCTGTACCTAGGAATTACACTCTCTACTACTTCGCGTCCTCCTGAACCTGTGAACCCTGACCCTGAACCCCTGAATCCCGAACCCCATACAACTCGCTTCTGTTATACCCCCTCGTACCTAGGCCTCATCTCTAAACTCCTGCCTCCCCATATCGTGGTGTGCCTTGGACTACCCAACCCCCAGACCCTGTCCGTGACAGTCTTGAGGGAGACTTGAGGGGTAACTTGATTGTGCAATTCAGATAGAGGCTGGCAGTGTGTCTTCTTAGACTCTCTAGTAAGGTGGCGACAGCTTCTGTTATCGATAATCTTTGTTCTGCCAGGCATTGGAAGGTTTTTCTCCTTACCCCTCTTTTGAAACCCGGTGTAGAAACTGAGGACAGTACTTTTGGGACAATTTAAGAGATTCCCAATCTCAGAAAAAGAAAGAGATTTTTTTCTTAAAGCAACAATTTGCCCTTTCTCAAAGTCTGTGAGGTGGCCGGTCTTTGTGGGAGGCATGGTTGTTGAGTAGTGGTCGATCGTGGAGGTGCGGGTTTTTTGAGGTGTTGCTCGGTAACCGCTGATCGGACCAAAAGATCTGTCCTAGTACTTTACTATACTGCTGAGTGCTAACCGCTGATCGGACCAAAAGATCTGTCCTAGTACTTTACTATACTGCTGAGTGCTAACGAAACCCTTCACACCCCTGACCAGATCCGCTCACCAAGGAACCACCACCACCACCACCAAAGAAACCCCCGACAAATGCAGTCCACCGGAGAGAGGGAGAGACGTGAGCGGACAATATAAAACATGAATATACAGAGCTAACCAATCCCCACCACAACGGATAATAATAAAAAATCGCCCGGGAGAAAAATCCCACCACAAGAAACTTCGGCAGTGGTATCATACTCACTCACTCGAGAATGAATCCCGAGAAGGAAGGCCTGTAAATTCGAGAATTCCTTCACTGGTTAGAAACATCTACCTCCGACCATAAGGACGGTACGGCTCGTACATTCTAATAAAGGTTACGTTGGTTCACCCAGCTCCGCAAGAATCAGGAGTGCGATATAATAGCTAGAACGTCCATGTTCCCGCCCTCCGGCGTAGTAGCAGGGCTCGGCAAGGAAACGATGTATCGAGGAATACCACGCACCGACACAAATTCTAACATTTGAACCTGTGCTATTCATTCGCCCCCGGGCATTTTCGGCTAGGGATATGATCCAACAGGTCCCAACGTAGTATTATAGCAAGGATGATGATCGATCCATAGACATGTCATATAGTGCTACAATACGATAGTCCCCCACCAAAGCACACTCTTGCAACGCTCCGATTCCAAACTCTCTAGGAATCCACGGATACGAGCCCCGACTCCCTTCCCGAGTACAGTAATCTCCCCCCGTCTGCCGCCGAAACTTCAGCCGGTTACAATACTATGGCACAAGCGCGAAACCGAAACGACAATCCCACGCGAAAAGTGCGTCCGTGTTGTTGGACATTCTCGCGAGGATATCCATTCCCATAGGCTAGTACCCCACCAGTCCCCGGGATTATTAAACCCGCCAGTCTTGAGGAGAGGAAAAATAAATAAATATTATTATCGAGTGATATTCCATGATTAATCCGCAACCGCCGCACTCCCTTGTTCAAGCTAGACCGATTCGTGTACGGTGCAATACAATAGCAATACAATAGCGGTAAACAATTCCAACCTCAACACACCCCATGCGCACCTTAACCCTAATTATTTATTTCTGCCAAAACATATAACCCGGAAAGTATTCCTGGGAGTTTCATCATAGTGCTCATCGGGGTTACCCCCCACTCGTCAGGGCGAAAACTTGAGCCCTCCTACCCCCAATAACATAATAGGACATAACGGGGACATAGGACATAACGGGGACGGATAATGAAGGCGGGCCAAGGAAAAAAGAAATGCTAATAATGCCACGAAACACAACCGGACTGTGCGATACGATGATCTCTATGTATCCATCCGAATAAATGCCACGCCACCGACCACCGGGCAATGCCCATCGAACCAACCCGGACCAAACGAAATCAGACCAAACGGGACCAAGAAAAAAAGAGACAAGTAAAACCTAATGCCCAGTTATGCCCTTAGCAAATAAAACAAATGAGTAAATAAACGGATAGAAAAGACCAGGCACTGCCAAGGGACACAAAAGTGAACCCGACCCCCGAAGACTAGGGCACATAAATCCTCGAAAACCCTTCCACACCCTGCCGGCAGCACACGCAGCTCTTGTAGTTATTATGCGCGAGGCAAATTCTGCAATCCTCGCACAGCGCAAGACACCTACAAGGCCAAACGATGATGATCCTGGTAGCGGATTGGCAGACAACGCAAGAGCTATAACTCGAGCCAACGGTAGCCAAGGAGGGTCGGCGTTGTTGCAGTATGATGGATTCTAAGGAGGTGGATGCGGCGTTAGCCGAGTGGTAGGTTGACCGGGTGAGGATGTTGGGCGCCTTTAAGTGCCGGCCAAGGACTTGCGCCTGGGCACGGTCTTCGGGGGTTTGTGGGTCAAGGAGGGTGGCGAGATCTGCTGGCGTTGAAAATATTTCCGAGAACGGGGACCGGGGGGGAGAGGGGGAGGTTGAAGGGTCGCGGGAGGGGTAGGGGCGGGCCTGGGTGGGTGTCCGCATGCCTGAGGGTTGGGAGTCGTCGTCGGAATCGTAGGGGAAATCTGTTAGGGAGCCTATGTCTGATGCTGCGGAGACTACGGTGCTAGCGTCGTCGTCTATGGAGTCGTCGGGTTGGAAGTCGCCACTTGTGTCCGAGTCTGACAAGAGGGGCCCTCCGATGTTCCCGATAAAGCGGGTGTAGAGTGATGTTGAGTCTGCATCTTCCTCTTCGCTTTCCAAAGTTGAGCCTTGAGTCGCGCCAGTTGCTTCTGGGCTGCGGGGTGGGCCTCTTCGGCGGGTACGGAATAGAACTGGCGCCCAGCGGGAAGTTAGACTGACGAGAAGGACTGATACCCCTCGCATCATTTCCCCAGCGCCAGCCCATCTGCCGCTTCCGGTGCCATTTCTGCCCTTCTTGGGTGCCATAACTCCCTTTACGTCTTTGCGTTCCTGAGAGTATGGGCCTTTACCGACACCGGTTCCGACCAGCCCTGGGGCTACGCCTCCACCACCAATACCTAACTTTCTCTGGGAATCCTGTACCTTGGTCCTCTGGTCCTCCAGCCAAGTCCACGCCGGAAGCCTAACCACCCGCCCCTCGTTCAAATAAGTAGCCTCACTGGCCGCTGTCAAGCATTGAAAGCCCAACTTCAACAGCGTCGTGTAAAAATCGTCATTATTGTTGATTGTAACAGTCCCCAACGTCAAATTCGCCTGCAAATTATCAAGCCCAGCACGGAAGCTCGGTCTCTCGCTCAGGGCGGGTGGAGGGAACAGCGAAGTAAGCACCAAAGCGAGAGCGTAAATGGCCCCACAAACAAAGATCCCGGTGAAGATGAGGAGATGAGGAATGAACCCAACCACGCATACAGTAGGGAAATTCAGCACGGCACCGGATTCGGATCTAAAAATTAGTGCCCATGCGAAACCGCTCAAAAACGCAACACCCCAGATGCCTGTGCTGAGTAATCGGTATTTTGCCTGTCTGTTGAAAACGCCCAGGATGTGGCTTGTGAGGTGGCCGAAGGCGGAGATGAGCGAGATGTAGAGGACCTCCGGGGGAACATTCTTCTCCGTGTGAACGAGGACCCGACGATTATCCGTGGCCGGGGTCCCGTCGTCCGAGGGGGCCGATTGGATTTCGAAACCCTTGGGTGCAGCTAGAAACTCTGCTTCGGCGAAGGCGAGGGAGTGCTCCATGAGCGTCATACCAGTCTCCGCAGCAGGATTGCGCGCCGTAACGGCGCAGACAAAGCTCTCGACAAATTGGCTGAAGCAAATGGTTTTGTAGAACGGCCATAGAAGGGCTAGACTTCCCTTGATGGGCTCCATGTCTTTGATCTCCTTCCGGACCTTCTTCCCATCCACCGAGTTCCCATCGGAATCCTCGTCGGCAGTATCCACAACGGGTTTATCCGATCTCGGAACCTCGACATCTGCGGATGATTCCGGAGGAGCCTTCATCCCCCCCCACCGGTAAACTTGCTCCGCCCACGCCTCGTCCGGAATCATCCCCACGGCCTCGCACGCCTGCAGGTCACCCATCCACCAATTCCCCACTCTCGCAACCTGCCACAGAAACCCGCCCGCAGGCCTCGGCGATCCGTCGCTGAGGTAGACCTCACTCGTCTGGCATCTGAGCGCGAGAGAGATGTTGTAGATGTGGAGCAGGCAGAGAGCGATAGGCATAAGACGCATGAAGAACCTAGTCCTGACGGTTAACGTAAGCGGTCTCCGCAGCGAGGCATAGATACTCGTCCGGTTCAGAAGTAAGGCCTAAACAGCGGGAAGAAACAGGGGTTATGTCAGTGAAAGGCGGTTAGTGAATATATCATAAACTCTATAAGTACATTATTGTTGGAAGAGCCCCCATAACCACACTAACTCACACACGTGGCTGCAGCTGATATAGTAGGGGGGTTCGGAGTTCTCGGTATACCCGGGTCCATAGAGCTCTCGGAGCGGCTGATTTATCGCGAGGACTCGGCAGCCGCTCACCCGAAGATTGCAAAAACAATTGGCCGGGGGGAAAACGTGAATACGGTTGACAGCATAGCCGCGACTAGACTCGAAAGGATTTCTTGGCTGAGAGCCGTCCTGGTCCTACTGCCTGAGGTCGGAGCTGGCGGGGTGCTTGAGATGTGACGAGAACCCTGGGGATGAAGGAGTGCACGGCGTGCTTTCACCCAGAAAAGAGCTTTGCGATGTCCGTTTGCTCGAGTCGGTACAGAGCGTATCCGAGGATGTATGCCCTGATTGGTAAGATGAAACTCGACTCCATGATCGAAAGATACAGCCTCGGGATTGGAGCTAGGTTTCAATTGGCGCGTTAGCACCAGCGAAATGGCAGCTCCCGCCCGGCAGCTCGAGTGCGTTGCTGGTGTACCGAGAACCCCGAACCTCCTTAGTATGTTGACGCCAGCCGAAGAATAGCCACGGTTGCATGTGTGTGTATGAGTGCGGTTATGAGGACTGTTTCCAAAACGGGGGTGTAGTGTTAAAGTGTTTGCAAGCAGAATTGCCACTGCATACAGCCCAGATCTGAGAGAATGCCAAATTTGAAGGTGCAAAATAGCAAGGCTTCAAACGGAACGCCGTTACTCGCGCCCTAAGGCTACAAAAAACAAACAAATAACGGAGGAGGGAAAGCCAATGGAAACAGCGACAGTAAACGAGAGGGGTTCCCAACACACTAACCATAAACAAGCAGAGAACGGCCCACGGACTAGTGACATATGTGAACACGCTCCGGACCCCTCTTCCTGGCCCTGACGTTGCCATCGTCGCTGTCTCCGAATCAACATTTCCGACCGTTTCAGCCGCCTCTATGATCTGCTGCACGGCGCTGCTAGCTATCGTTGTTGCTACCGGATCGGCTGTAGCGTCCGCACGCGAGGTGACGGGGTCCGGTCGGGATAGGCCAAATATGGACATTGGGATATTGAATAGCGAAGATATGAATCCACCATTCCGGGTCTCCATGGCGGAGGAGCTGTTGGCGATGAGCGGGGGAGAAAGGAAGGGGGGAATGGGGGGGGGGAGAGAAGGGGAGGAAGAAGTGCTACGGTACTCGGGGGTTACGGTAGGATTGGTTCTAGAAGTGGTGAGTTTCAGTAGAGTGGCTAAAGTGAGACTTGGGATAATAGCTTGGCAAACTCGTTTCGGGATTTCGATTGCTTAGGTTTTGTATGATATCGTAGAAATTGGCGTCTCACAACCGTACTATACCGGTATATCTATGGCAAAAGTAGCCGTTATATATCCTCAAACATACTCGGTATAATACTAAACTCAGGATACCGTGGGCCTGTGGGCCTGACTGTCGCTTTTCGACCCGCACCGTTTGCCTAACCCTCAAACAACGAAGCCACAACATCAACGCCTTACATTCCAACCGGTAACTTAACGCCTTCTCCAAACAGTGAACAAAACACATATTTACATCTGCAACCCCAAATTTTCGCTAAACCGCATCCCCAGCTCCAGCCCACCACCTCCACACGACCACCAACAGAACCACAATCCAACCGGGCCACATAAGGATAAGCATAACCAGGTTGGGCTGTAACAGGAGCAACATGGTTTCGTAAAAGACCGCGTCCTTGAATTTTCCCCACCGGAGCCGCAGGCCCATTCCCTGTTGGAGGAGAAAGGCGAGGAGGCGGCAGAATATCTGCTGGAGAATGGCGGTGAGGCTCCTGCGGAGTTGTGAGAGCGAGGTCATGATAGGCGATACCCATGCCGCCTTTGCGGGGGAGGGGGGGAAGATGGCGGTAGCGGCGCCGGTTTCCGTTGACATTTCTGTTTGGAGGGCGGCTATGGTCATTCTGAAACTGCGGGGCCTAAATCCAGTGGTTAGCTTGGCCGATAGGTGACCGACTGCTCGGGCATTAGATGTGGCTAAGTGGATAGAAACTGCAAGGGGAAGGAGGGGGTACCGGTATAAGAGGATAGAAAAGGTGTACGGTATTAATCCTCTTGAGCTCATGAACATGTACTGCTATTTGTACTGGTCTCAAAGACTTTCAACTTGTGCGCAGAAAAAATCCCACCCTCTCTTTCAAGACTTTAAAGTGAAAGAAAGCAGAAGAGGGCATAGCAGTTATATCATACCCTCTCCCCGCGCCCGGGGAAGAAGATAAAAAAACCCCTCTCACCTGCACGCGCAGCGACCCGTATGATGTCCCGTACCGGTAGTCACCCATACCATTTCTATCCCAAGCTCTTCTTCCATCACTCCTACTATGATACCCCTCTTCAATACTCTTCTCCCTTCCTCCCTTCGACCAACGCCAACCTCCCACCTGACCCGCCTTTCAAAATCCCGAGAAAAGTCCCTCACCCAAGGCCCGCAAACAGCACCCGATATGGAGCCTGTGGCATCTCCCAGACAGCCCCATACCGTGTCGTGATCGACCGAAACCGAGATATAAGGAAACCCAGCGCAAGGCAATATAAGAACACGCCACCACGTGTTGTGCCGTTATGACACCCAATTGGTCCGTCCGTTGGCGAAGATAACCTAACCCTGCCTTACTGCTGGCACCAGGCATGTTCAAAAGGGCGAGAACAGCCGGAATCGATTTTCCTTTTTTTTCTTACTCAAAAAGAATTGAGTGGGCGATGGATGAAGCAGGGGAAGGTGGGGATATATGGGTGGGTTTCTGGGGAGAGGCCTCTGATTGCTACTGCAGAGTACCGGCTGCTGATCAAGCCGGAGAATTCCTTGAATCAAATACAGTGCCTGTTACCGATAAGATAGCCTCTGATCTCCTTGGTGGAATATATTAAGACTTGAAATTGAAGCACTGTTTGGTCTTCAATGGTCAATTCGAAACCCTTGGGGGGAAAAAAAAAATTCTTTTGTATAGAAAGGTGCTTTTCCAAACATTCCCAAGAGGGCACGTAGAGTAGTCTACAGCGTAATCCGTTGCCAAGAAGAAGCTTTTTGCCCGAGTATGACATGATACCCATACCCGTAGATATATTTCATAAAATCGCAACCAACAACACAGTATCAGATGCAACAGTATCATACGAGAGATAACAAGAGAAAATCAGTCAGGCTATTCGACGGCACCCTTACCCCCTACCGGGTGCAAGCCATGCCATGGTGCCGGCCAAACACAGCCCTTCAAACGGGTTTATGTAAGCAGCTCGGGCAACGATTGGCTACCGTTCTTCATACAAACAGTGCAGGAGCTTCTGGAAAACGTTCGTGCCGAAAAGCTCCCAAACGTTTGAACCCTACCTATCTTACGGTATCAATCCACGAGCATGTCACTTCCATAATATTTTTTCTCTCTCCAATACAATTGTAGTCATCACAATATTATCATAGTATGATATGGTGGGGAAAAAAATAAAAAATAAATAAATAAATTATAGTTCATGCGGACCAAAACCTGTACCAGGCTGAAAGAAAAGTGTTACGTGACTGTGCTGCTTGAAGTGCTAAGACCTAATCTTATAGGTCTTAAAATAGGATATTAGAACTCACTTTTCAGGGTTTTTATGCAGCCTATCAAGAATGTAGAACCCGATTCCAACATGATGAAATAGAATATGCTATATAAAATTAAAATAAAATACTATGAAAAATACAAGCATGGGTACAGATAAATATAATATTATAGTAGTTGATTAATTGTGTTAATCATGATAATTAACATGTTAGTGACTCTGGTATTAATGTTGCAATATAGTTATAAAACTCTTAGAATCATATTCAACTCTCTCATGATATGTATATACACTATACTCAACCATTTATGCATATTTTCAAGTCTGTTGTACTGAAATAGATATCATGGTAGTTTGAGATTGAGTATAACCATATGATAATTATGATATAATATGATGTCATAGGTTTAATACCTATAAAAGTATATAGGTTATTGGATTTATTTTAATTTTATGTAGAGGCTTGGCATAAAATGTAATTATTAAGCAAAATAATACCCTATCTTTACTAGGAAACTGTGGCTGTGTGTAACACATTTTCATTTTTTTACACCAAAAATACTATAATAATTTATTATTTCAAATGATTATACTATCAGACTAAGTTTCTTAGTAGACAACTTAAAAAAAACCTCTACGTTGTAGAGAAAGGTGAGGAGAATAATGTAGAAGTTTTTTTTTTTGAGTTACCTATAGCTTGATCTGATGGTATAATCATTTGAAAACAACTAAATTTCTGGTGCAGGTTTTGATCTGCACAAACCATACCCTTCCATTTCCGATTCTCCTGCTCTACGGTGGAGTAACTTACCGGGGGTCTATCGGTACTGTACGTAGTCATTTTACTCTAAGTTTGTAAGGGGAAAAAATGAATTTTTTTTTCTTCCCTTTTCTCAACTGGACCGCGGTTGCCATTCAAATAAAAAAAAATAAAAATAAATAAAACCCCTACGGTACAAGTTAAAATCCCTAAAAGGCGATTCCCATTGCACCGACGGTGAGTGCATTCTTAATGGCCAGGTATCATATCATACCGGTGCCGTATGAGATTATTAGGGTTGGGGGATTTGGTGTGACACCGTCAGATAGTTGATGAGGGTTCGGAAGGGTCTTCCGTCGTCGTCGGGCGTGTTCATGCCAACTTTATCATACCGTAACATACTCAACAGCAGACCGCGTAAACTTGCAACCATTCGTTCCTTGAGAAATCACCATATTCATGATAGAGAAATAGTCACCAACGCGGCGATTGGGGGGGGGGGAAGCTGGGCGGGCGACGGACTGGAATCCTCGACGGGTAATCTTTTTTTTTGTCAAGATAATTTACTTGTGCGGGTATCCTACTTTTTAACGAACTCAATTTATTACCCATAGAACGTGATAGGCCCGCTCCCCCCAACAGTGGAGTTTGCAGATCGCGCTCAGACACTGTAAAGCCCATCCTGCGGGAAGCCCAATTATCAACCGGACCAGCCCGCAAACCCAACCCCTACGAGGACTACTAAGTCGCGTTCCAGCCAACCACGGCCGGTCTCCAACTAGACCGAACCTCCTCCTCCTCCCGCTTTCGCATGGCATGGCAACTCATAAGTGGCGGAGATGCCATAGGTGCTGAGAGACTGTGATAAATATTTACTCGGGGCGGCAAGGTGCCGAGGGGGCATTGTTAATCAATGAGAGCTGTGGGAGAATTAGTCCTTCGGATGCGCGATCAGTACCCTACCCCAAGCGTTTCATGAGTGGGCCGCTCATCAACCGTAATCCGCTCTGCGGCCGCTCACGTGCCCGACGGTATGGAAATAGCAGGGTTAGGGTTTTGGGAGAATTGGGCATGGTCAATGCCGGTAATGCACTGCGTAACGGGAGAGGATTAGGGGATTAGATTGGCTAACCTGCAAGGACTGGGGTTTACTTATTGGTGCTCTCGTTTAATTTGGTTGGGGGTTTTCGATGTGAGTAGGGCCAAAGTTCAGTCAGGTGATGAAAGTGTGGATGTTGGAGGGGACGTTTGATTACCTGTGGGTGCTTTCGGGGATGGACTGGATAGGCAGTGAGATAGCGTGTCAATGTACTAATAGTATCATATACATAAACTGTGCATTCCTGCCGGCGCCTATCTGCTCTTTACTTATCGGTATACAGTACAGGCACGCACTCCAAAGCCACTGGTATCGTATAGCACACACATCCCTACAAGTGCTTACGGGTCCCCCAAATCTTCCAACCCCTCCGTAGCGGTATCCCAAAAGCCCCTCTCCAGCGTGAGAACCTCCCTCGCCGCCCACCTCGCCTCCTCCTCACCGAATCCACTCCTTTCCCCATCTTTCCTGACCTCGACAACTGCCCGTCCAAGTGCCTCCACATAGGCGGCAAACTCATCGTTAGCCCACCACCGGACAAAGTCCTTCAAAACCTGGTCCGCTCCCCGGTCAAACGCGGGACTATCCCGGACATGCACCATAACATCCAAGTACACCCTCTCCAACAGCCAGACGACCACGAGTAGCGTGCTCCAATGCACGTTCTTCTCGTCCAGTAACGTCTCCGTCATGAACTTCATGTACTCTGCGCACCCTTTCGCCGCGTGGTCCACCAGTTCACTTAGCACCTCCGAAGAGGTTTTGCCGGACTCAGAGATGTGGTCCGAATGCGGCGATGAAATTTTTGGCAGCGCGACGTTCCGGACGAGCGCCTTTTGACGGAATACTTCTAGCTCGCGCTTCAAGACGTCGTAGGCCGGGATCAGGTGTGTGCGCTTGAAGGAGAGCGAGTCGGGGGCTGAGGAGATTAGTCGAGCGATGAAGAAGGCTTCGCAACGGACGTACAGGAAGTCATTGGAGAGCCATCTATTGAAGTTCTCGCCAGGGAGTTGGTTCCCTGAGAGCAGGCGGGCGAATGGTACGGAGGTGGTTGCGTGTGGAATGTTGAGATCCCAGAGGGATATTAGATCGTCTGGTGTCATTATTATTACCTTTCTGGCCGAACCGGCTGGGTGGCGGGTGGGTGTTGGTGGGGTTGGCGAGATTATTGTGTATAGCCTATGTGGGCCGGCCGTTTGGGGCAGCTAGGGTCAACCCCCGGGACTCCCTGTAGCTATTAGGAGGTGCTGAGATATCAAAGTAATCTCGATGGAGTTATGATACCACCGGAACAGGGGCCGGAACCGATGGTAGACACCATGGGAATGGGACACGCGTGACAAGACCACACACCGACCTTTGAGAAGTTCACGCGTCATTGTCGGACAGCCGTCTGACCCGATGAGATGGACCCCTTCCGCCGCGGGAACGAGGAGCGCTCGAGCTCAGCTCCCGCTGTAAAGAAAATCGTTGGTGATTTTATTGTGGGATCATGCCCTAGCGGCGGGTTCCTGTGACGGTATGGAGCCAAGTCTTTACTCGAGTACTCGAGTACTGGTATCAGTTTTTCCACCAAATCCAACCTTGCAGCACAGTAGATGTCATGACCGCGAGGAGAATCCTTCAAGTGTCACCCAAGGCCTAGAAACTGCGTTTGCGCTCGAGCCTACCTCACTTTTTGTCGTACCTAGTCGTTCTAATTTCGAAAGGAGATCTAAATACCTAAAGTGGCCTAGGAGCCCGAATCCGACCGTGGGCAGCATAATACCGGTAGTCTTATACTCGAGCACATGGTTAGGGACAATTCTTTAGAAGTTTTCCGGGGGAAACCTGGGTGGACACAGTTGATATCATTTCTACGAGTAGTTCCACCAAAAGATCTTGCCAAGCCGGATATTGGCAAGATTATGTAATGTGGGAATGGGCAAGAGTGTACATGTACTGTACGAGTAGTCTACTGGTACAAGTGCCAGGCCAGATGTTTTCGTACAAGACAGGGATTATTCTGCGGGTTAACCTAAATTAACTGTGCGAAAACATTATCTCTGGCACTTGTACTTGTGGTTCAGTTGCCTAACCCAGCACCGCCTCGGTCTAGTCCAACAGAGGCTGTGTTCGGGTGACTGATATAGTGTAAATAGGATCAAACCGGTACCTCAAAACCAGCAAACCCGATGTTGAATCAGTCAACAGCAGCCACAAATTTCAGTGAAAAAAAAAACCATAGAGATGTAGATGATTCTGGGGAGAAGAAGTGATTGGTTTTTTTTTTTAATTCAGTATTCCTATTGAGCGTGATCCAAGGTCAAAGTGTGAAATTTTTGGTGAGAGTGAAACAAGTGATAGAATCTACCTACTGACAGACTGAAAAATACTGTAGAGTAAAGATGACTGAGACATAGAAATAATCAGTGATTAGTATGACAGGCATAAAAAATTATAATTCTGGTTAATCCTCTATTCTCCACATTTCCCTTAACATGTTATTTCATCTTACTCATCATGTCTTGGCAATTATTGGCCCAAACCTGATCGGTTACAACGGAATTGCCGTTTCACCGGAGGACCCGCCTTTAGGCACTTTGCACCATACCATACTCAATTTACGATAGATTCTAAGGCTTACCGGCAGCGCGGGACGCAGAAAAACCCCACAAGCAATGGAGCTCGCCCCACGATCAAGCGCTTCCGTCTCCAATAAATACTCGGGGCGCCGAACACCACCAGCTTGGGCGGCGATGAAGGGGCACAAGGAAGTCGTGAAGCTACTGCTCGGGAGGAAGGATGTTGCCACGGACACTCCGGATCACGACCAGCGGACACCGCTGGGATGGGCTGCCACCAACGGACATAAGGGGGTGGTGGAGCTGCTTCTCAAGGCGGAAGGTGTCAACCCCGGAAGACGGGATGTATACGACTCGACCCCGCTCACCTGGGCCGCGTGCAATGGACATGAGGAGGTGGTAAGGTTACTGCTGGAAGGGAAAGGCGTCAACCCCGTAGAGTGCGATATGCAGGGCCGGACACCGATCATGCTGGCCGCCCTGATAGGACATGAGGGGGTAGTACGGGTACTGATGGAGTTGGAGGGCATTGATCTCAACGGGGGTGGCATCTGCGGTGAAATGCCACTCCAGTACGCTGCGATGCGTGGGAACGAGGCGATTGTGCGGTTACTGCTGGAACGGGAGCACGTCGGGCGTGATATTCCTGACTCCTTCTCGCGGACTCCACTCATGTGGGCGGCACACGCGGGACATGTGGGGGTGGTGGAGATACTGCTCGGCAAAAAAGATGTCGACCCCGGAAAACGAGACAGGCGGGGCCAAACGGCGCTCATGTTCGCTGCGGAACAGGGGCATTTGGGAATGGTCCGCTTGCTGCTCGGGCGGGAAAATGTCGATCCCGACATTTCCGTCTACGCGGGCAGCACACCACTGTCGTTGGCCACTCGAAATCAGCATTTCGGGATAGTCGGGCTATTACAGGCCTACAAACCTGCGGGCCCCGGCATAGCTTGAGATCGCGGAGACACTGGGACATATTATACATACCTTGACGGTCGATACCCTCCCCTTTCTCCACCTTGCCTAGCCTCCTTCTGCCCGGTATACGGCACATCTCCCGGGCACCCCTAAGCCCTCCTTTCCTCCCGGGCCCGGACCAGGGGCAGGATGGCGGATATGGGTCCCCCCCGGTTCTAGTAGTACTTGTAGTAGGAATTCCTAGTTTCTATATAATATATCCTGGCGTTTTTTTCTTTTCCCACCAGAGGTGGCGATGTGTTTTCTTAACCCCCCCTGAGGTCCCAAGTGTCAGGAAATACAACTGAATTTATTAGCACAAACCCCGCTATACCCTACACTCACGTCTGCGAAGCCCTCTTAACGTTCCCAATGTCTCGGCAGTTTTCCACAGGAAAGTTGTTGAGGCTATTTACCGGATGAAAAAAAATAGGGGTAGGAACAAAAATAGATGGGAAAAACTTTCGTGGAATTTACCGTTAACAATTTTTTTTTGGGGGGGGGGGAGGGTCTTTGAAAATGGTGTCGTCCCCGTCTTGCTATGATACAATATTTACAACTCGAGTTGATGGGGTAAGTTATCATACCTGAGGTGCTATTATATCATCCGGGAACTTTGTAGGTACCAGTGTATCATATATGACCCGTAAATTTAAAGCATATCTGATTGGACTATCTGGTCCATTTAATCTGTACGGATCTGATCTGGTTGTCTACACACATGCTGGATTCTGTGATCCACCATACGTCTTAGTATTAGTAGAATGTGATGTGGCAGAGTCAGTAAAGTGAACAAATCAGGAAACCAAATATTGATAAAGGAGGAAAATTTTAATAATAGATATAAAACTGGTTAGAAAAAAAAAAGGTACAAATTAAGGGATAGTAAATGAAGTGCTATCATAGCCCATTTCAAAAGTATCCGGACACCTTGGCGCCAAGGCTTTTGGGTGCTATTGCTGGAGAAGTGTCCACTGGCAGAATGTCCAGTAGGATCTAAAATACTGTATATTCAATATAAGAACTATCCATGAAATTTGTTTCCTCCTTGTTCAATACATTTAGCCATGACTCAAGGGAGCTTAGATATCTCTTTGATAATTTCATTAACAGTAATCTGATCCAATTCTTGCTGCAAAATCCGCTTCATTTCTTCAATACTTATAACTGTAATGGATGGGGTCTGAGGGTCGGGTAGCCCAAGGCACAGCACGATCACGGCAGGCAGGAGTCTGGAGACAAGGTCTGGGTGTGGGGCTACAACTGAAGTGAGTTGTACGAGGTTTGGGGTTCAGGCGTTCAGGGTCAGGATTCAAGGGGTCAAGAGCATGCAAAGTAGAAGAGAATGTAATTTTCAAGTATAGGTGTCCAAATTCAATCTAAGTTTATTTATACTAGTCATGCTATGTCCAGGCTTATGATCTAGTCTAACATCCCTCATGAACCTATAAAACCATAATCCCCTAAATAACAACTACCAACTAAAGCGCACAAGCCTCCAAGTCCCAAGGGTCAAATACTCCCACAAGTGAGCAAACACTTAAGCTAAGTACAGGAACCCTTCATCAACTCTCACCTCTCCTGTACCAACTGACAAACCAACTCCCAACTGAACATGAACAGTGCGACCAAAGCCTGTGGTCATGCTAAGCAAAGCCAAGGCAGTTATGGCCCACGACACTCACACAATATAAAAGATCAAATCCAGTCTGAATACTATCCTGTAAACTCAACAAAAAAAAGCCCCTACAGTAGAAAGTCCTCATGCTACAGAGCCAACCCTTAGCCATACAGGGTCCTTGGCTGGATGTGGCCCACACCAATCTGAAACAACCCGACCAGGTCCCCAGCCACCAGGGAGGAGTGCCACACTTGCAATAGGTGTGTCCGCCAACCCCAGCCACAGCCAGGTTCCCAACCAGGCCGGTGCATATTAGTTCCTACAAGGGGAACCGAGAGCCAATTACTCCATACCACTCCAAATAAATCAGAGGGGGAGGACCATTCTCAAGGTTGAAGCCATCCCCACATCACACATGGGCAGGGAGGTGACTCAAAAGACACCACAAAGGCTCATGACTGGACTGTATCGCAGGAAACATATGGATGAAGGAGCCAGGTGTAGATGACAAGCAACTGAGTATTCAAACCTTATTGATATAAAACCGAGGAGCCGAAGCCCTCAGCCAACAGTGGAGAAAGGATGTTAGCGAAAGCGAACCTAAGCTATTCAGTCTCAAACCAATGATCCTGTGGGAAATCAGGGATGCAATCTCCCTAAACCAGTGAAGCAAACAGTGATCTGCGAGAAAACTAGAACATCAGGAAAGCCGAGCAACACTTCCTTTACAGTGAAGAAGGTTCAACTGTAAAGCAATAATCGTGACTATCAAAGAAGCCAGAGGTACTTCCCCAAAGGGAGACATAGCAAAGACGGCATCCAGGCCCGCAGGCGAGGAAGAAAGCATATCCAAAGGAGATTACCAGATTATGGTTCGTGCCATTCAAAACCTGCACGAGGCTGAAGTGATGTGTTACATGTGGCTGTACCTCG